GATTACACTTACTTCTGGGGCCCGCAAAACCAGTGAGGACGAGCCATTCAAGTATTCAAGCAAGTATTCAAGATGTCTTCGATTCCTGTACGAGAATAGTGACTCCTACTTCAGAATCTTCCCCGTTGTGTTTCTGCGTCCTAGTCCCGTCTAGTGAAGTTTTGGTTTCAATTTAAATTTACCAACGAGGTTCTTTTACGCGGATGCAGAGCGGTCTACTCGTTTCGCCAACGTAATCACCCCGCATAGTTTATAGCAGATTAGTTACACCGTACCCCAAGCCATGCAATCACCGTCTCCATCATTAGAGCAAATTATGCAGTTCTGCGTTGTACGCCGACTGTCATATAGGCGACTACGAACTAGCTAGCCTCTTAGAGTGCCCGGTGGTATTTCTATCACTCTTACGCAATTCTCTAAACCGGCCCTTATTAAGCAACGATTTATAGCTGCACTTGTTTCGTTTTGAAATAGAGGGCAAGAGGAACGGAGAATTGTTCTCGCTAGAGTTATCGTTCTGGGGGGTGGCTTTTACTCTATACTTAAGACGAACCTCGTGTTTGCTTATCAAAGAAAAACAGTGAATTATCAATCAATGCCAAGATTAATAGGAAGTCGGTCTTCGAAACTGTTAGACATTAATTGTAATTACAAAGCGACTGCCAACTTAATCCGTTTCTAACGAAACTGGAATCAAGTTTTAGAATAATTAGGTAGTTAACTTTAATGATGCTGAGATATTTGCAAAACTCCGAACCGCAGGTGTCTGCGGTGGGGAACGAAAGCGCCATTGTCCTCTCTGGTGAGTAACCTGCGGTCCGGAGTTCTTCAAATATCTCAGCATCGTTGAAGTTATATTTCGCAGTATACCCTGCCATTAAAAAGAGTAGGCAGTATATAATAAGTTAAAATTAAATAGTTAGTTTAGAATAACTACCTGAACGAGGAGCAGGCATATAACTAATCTCGACCCATGTATTTGTCAGCGGAGTAAATACTTCCACAGAATCATGTACCTAAAAAAGTGTAGGGATGAAAATCTAATAAATTGCCGTTACAGTGAGAAAGTTAGCGCCAATAGGTGTAGATGTGATCATTCGTTTACATCGGTTAATGGTTTTATCAACACCTCCAAATTCTTAAAAATCGACTTCCCCTAGGCCTCGGCAAGAAGAAAACCAATATTTCCTTACATTTTTGAATTAACACGAATTTGTTACGAAACTTTTATTCGGTTCGTGTTTCGGTGCTTTCACCTTCTTCAAGACCGGGCTGATCCGAGTCTACTCTCCACAGTTCTTCCTTTTTCCAATGTGGGACTTTGTGACCACAATGAGTCCAATGCAGTAGAGCGGAGCACCTCTTGAGTGAAATTTTCTCACTTGGCACGTGCCTTTATACCACGACTGTTGTTGATATATTGCCATCTATTTTGACCTGTTTTCATGGTGATAATGCATCCTGCACCTACCAAGTTCTGCCTTAATACTTTTAAGTATGGATGTGTATAGAACAGTGTTTGAAGGTAACTTGTAGTACACACATGGTCGTTGGTTCTATTTCTTACTCCGTTCTCTGCCATACCAAGTCTTCCATCTTTTTAGGATCATCATACTGGTAAATGAAAGTATTCTTACTTACCTGGACACGGATGGCCCTGTTCGCTGGTTCTGCGGGCGCCAGCATGATTTCCATTCTCCGGAAAGTTGCTGGTTGAGCCATTGTGGTTCCCTGGAGTCCCGAGGACAGCCTAGCCAAAACTTTCCTCAAGTCGTCACATCTCAGACAGTCGCCGCCCTTGTGACTCACAGGGAGATTTTTCACTATGCGACTAGTTAGATACCAGGACGGTGGTGATTTCTGGCATTGGTTTACTCTTAGCTGGGCCTTCGGATAGAAACATCGGACTCCTTCTCAGCTTGAGAGGCACTGCCGGAGGGACGAACCACTCACTGTACCTCACAGTTTGACACCTGGGAACACCTTCCAGCCGCCATTAGGCAGTAAAGCGTTGGGAAGATTGCACCATACTCACCGAAATTAGTTGCACAAGTCAAATATTTCCTCCTACGATGCTATGAATGGAGTCGAAAGCGTGCTGAATCGCCAAGTGATTTGTTTACGTCAAATGCTTTGTGCTTCCAGCTTCAAGATTATTCTCACCACTAGTTACATGAAATCTAATTAGCTTTAGCATATTTGATAAGCAAATAGACAATGCGTACCTCTAATCCACTAAATCCACCAGAAACGTAAATCTTCCCGCCAGCGCTAACAGCAGCACAATCGGAACGCATTTGATTCATGCTTCTAATAGATGAATACAAAACCTTGAGCTTCATAAACTTTAAAACTTTTATGACAGAGAGTTTAGTTCTTACGGCATAATCTCCCACTTGTTTAATTTGGGGTCGTAGCGTTCAACACTTCGAAGACGTTCCTACCTCGAAATCAGCTTTACACCGGAGAATTAGACGAACAATGGAGAAAAAAGCTTAGTGAGAAAGAAACACGTACGTTTCGTCGACGCTGATGAGCAGTTCTGACGTCGAAACCACCACACACGTATATAAAACCATTCAAAACACAGCAACTGTTACTGATGTATGTTCTGTAATCGTAAATGATATTACGAAAAAATGAATACGCATAACATTTAGATCCGTACGTGAGTGGATTTCCACTCATAATTTGGTGACCAATTTTGCGTTTGAGTTTATATCAATTCATAAGTTTATATCAACTCACAGCGAATGCTGTAAGAAATCAGGCATAAAATATATGAGACAGTTAGATGGATTTAGGTGTCAGACACCAAGGCAATTCTAGTGGACTAAGGGAGAAATGGAATCGGCTACGCGTCGATAATAGACGACGTATGAATGTGTCGTTTTCTTGTTCAACAATCGCGAGGTTTTTAAACAGCATACATTTACTCCCATAGAAAAACACAATACAATACAACACTAGCTGACGTTTCGGCAGTATCGCCTTCTTCAGAGCCGGTTTTTCGTGACTTCCAATGAGGAAGTTTAGAACAGCTGATTATATCCTCATTGGAAGTCACGAAAAAAGCGGTGGGTTTTCGAGAAGTTGTTGATCATGTGATTACCAAAGAGTCTTTCGTCTTTGTGTAAGTGTTATTGAAGCGTTTGGCCTAGTAGATTGTATATCAGTATACCCTTCCAGGCTCTGAAGAAGGCGATACTGCCGAAACGTCAGCTAGCGTTGTATTGTATTGTGTTTTTTATGGAAGTAAATGTATGCTGTTTAAAAACCTCGCGATTGCTGAACAAGAAAACGACACATTCATATTCCAATGCCGAGGTTAAGAGAAAGTCGATCCTGGCAACTATTACAAGATAGACGACGTAGTTTACTCTGCTAAAATTTCTTCGAGACAAGAAACACTATATAATAGTAAAATGTGATTTTCCCGTCTGAGGGTGGGAGAAGAACATTGTGACCGGCATGAATTCTACAGAGGTCATATTCATTCCGCTCTTTCCGGCCTTTCTTCTACTGCAAAGGCCTCTTATACGCAGTTTCTTCTACTAAATAGTAGCTTTTCCAACAAGGATATTCTGCCAGATTTTGATCAGTGAAAATTTGCTCTGATATTTAGCACAGAAAAAAATCCTCCCTCGAACAGATTTTTCAACACACATTGTACAAGGAAAAAACAGACGCCGTCGTGTAAGCGATAAAGTATAAATGAAACAAGAAAGTGAGAAGCGTAGAAAAAGTGATCTCATTTTTCGATTTGAAACATTGATATCAGCTGCTAATGGTTCAATATTTTATAAAAATTTGTAACGCTTATATTGAAACGTTTTCTACCTTGTTTCATACATCGGCGCTAGCTCTACCCATTCTCCTTTCATATTCATCTTCATTACTGTACTGAAGTGACACTCACCATCAGTTCCTCCAATCACATACAATTCCTGCATAAACGAACTCCTTGAAACGACCGCAAGATAACTATTCACTGTATTTCTAGCAATATCATTATTTAACTTCTACAATGCTGAGATATTTGCAAAACACCGGACCGCAGGTGTCTGCGGTGGGGAACGAACGCGCTATTGTCCTTTCAGGGGAGTAACGTGTTCACCACCACACCATGCGGGTCCTTCGTTTTGCCTGTGTCGCAGCTAGTTCTATCTATCAACTCCATCGACAATCACTCGTCAACGGATTGATCGAGAAAGCCCAAATCGGCAACGAACCCAGTTAAGCTGGGGCTGTAGTTATAATCACAACTTCAATTTATTATCTACTGCCTACTCTTTTTAATGGCAAGGTATACATTGCGAAAATGACCCGCATGGTGTGGTGGTGAACACGTTACTCCCCGGAAAGGACAATAGCGCGTTCGTTCCTCACCGCAGACACCTGTGGTCCGGAGTTTTGCGAAAATCCTAGCATTATAGAAGTTATATTCCGCAACATACCGTTCCGTTAAAAAGAATAGGCAGTAAATAAAAAGGTTAAGATTATTATTTAAATTTTGATAGCATTAATACTTTTTCCGTTGTTATTTTGTCATGTGGGGCGCTTGTGGCGCAGTGGTCGCAGGCGTCCCGCAATGCACATAGGATCGATCCCCGCGTTTCTGTCTCACCAAGCCTTCTATCCACCCGGGGTCGGCAAATTGGTACCAGACTTGTCTAGGAGGATAGAAGCACTGGCTCTATACATCGATCGGCCACCGCGAGTCATTGTAAAGGTCAGTTATGCATCCACTCACCTCCAACGATGTTTAATGAAGTGGAATCCATGGTGTGTTCCTAAGGGATTGATCAATGCCGTAAGCTTTATCCTTTATACTTTTATTTCATCATATAAATACTCACGTTATTAAGAATTACGGATCCATGATAGGCAACCGGATAATTTAAGGCGAATTCACAGAGAGGTTTCCATTCACATGAAAACTTAAATAATATTGTTAATTTTATCATTAATTTTAACTGGATGGTAAAAGATATGATTGGTTACAACTTTCCATGAGAAAATCCGAGAAAAGAAAAGTTCACCTCGTCGAAAATGTCAATACGAGAATGCGTACGCCCATTGTACCATCCGCCAAACATCACCATCTATAGAAACTTTGCATTATTGATTTCTTTCAAAACTTACGTGCCAATCACTATTTTTTCTTCATTATTAAATACCACTCTTCTCTTGTTCCTCTACACATCTTAGCGTAATTTTCCTTTACCCATTCGAGAAAGTACTGGTTTTCTCTTAACTAGAGCACTTGAGGAGAAAGTTTTGAAGGTTTGTAAACCTATAGAAGATACATGGCTTGCGTAGCGCAATTGCTAAAGGTGGTTTTCAACACACAAATAGTTGTTAGTTCATTCCAATTTCCAGAACAAATGAAACCCTTCATTCTTCTAGAGCTAGAAAATTAGTGCTAAACTTATCTGATATGGTAAAAACAGCGTCTTAATAGATTGCTACGTCATTACAAATCAGTTGTATAGGCTAAATATGTACTCAGTTGCCTAACTCTACAGTGATACGAATGGAATAGAATGCATGGGGCATACTTCAGGGAGCAATCCATACCGAATGCTTTAACCTTTTCGTTAATTTGTAGAAGGCATTTTGCTTCATTTTTATAAGATTTTTCGTGCTTCGTTACCAGAGCATGACTTTATTTTAGTTCTTTGCATCATAATCTAGGAAATGACTCTAAAGAAGGATTAAAAAAGCATAAATCAGCAGTACAAGCACGTGAACCGCACACATCACCCAGGTATTCTAGAAGGACATCATGAATTCTCGATAACATTTTCCTTATTTACTCGCTCCAAGGTACGAAATACGACGCTCGACGAAGAAAAAGTGAGGGAAGAAAGGACTCGCAATCTCCAAAAAGCTAAAATCTCGTTGAGGCCTTATACGAAACACCTTGGCCTTCCGATTTGATGGTGGAGATCTTTAGAATGCTCCATTGGTCTCTATTTCAATTGTTAAGTTATAGGGAGTTATACGGTCTATAGGATAAGATAGTGCTGCTTAATATTGAATGACTGGGTTATTCTCAGGTACATACGGCTTGATATCAATTCGTATCGCCAGAATGTGTTCAGCACAAAACTATGCAAGAAATATACTAACTATATGAAGTAACACAAACAAACCTGATCACGTGGCTCACGTCTAGGTTTCTTTGAGAGTAGATATATAAGCCTATTGTCAATAAGTGATTTTCTTTTCTGCAAAAAATATCAGCCTAACATAAAGGATTTGTTGCTTTTTTTTCTTATATTACTTTCTTCCATAATCATTGCCATCTATTTTTTTACACCGACTTTTGCTGAATACTTTATACCATTTGCGATGTGCCATTTGAAGAAGGGTCTGGATTACCATTACCTATGTACAAACTATGCATCAATGCCTGGTAGGTTTAGCCAGGTTGAAGCTGTTCAACATCGGAGCTCAGCTACCCAACCGATCCAAAAGCACTGACGATTTCCTTTGGTGATGAACTACGATTGGCCTGGCATGATTTCACTGGAAGTTATTTATCCGAGGAAAACCTCACTCAACTAAGAAAGTGAAAATTGTTGTGCTGGACCCATACGATTCGTAGAAACTGACCATTCACGTGTCAAGTATTAATTACGAATATTTCGCATCAATTAATTGTGTTTAATATAACAACAGTGATGCTAAGATATTTGCAAAACTTTGACCCCATTAATAATAGGCAGCAAATAAAAAGTTAAACATTAAGTTTAGCACAATTCAGACTGCACCTCGCCCGACAAGCCGGCAACTCTTACAGCTCCTAGAAGTTTATGCCGAAAAAGATATCGTCCATCGTAGGTGTCTAAAGCACAAAAACCCTTTCAACGTCGAAACATTAAGTAGTGTTAAATTATTTCCCAACATTTTCTATTCCTAGATAAATATCCTAAGAACGTTATGGATATTGCCCAAATCGGAATTATAACAGTCTTCTCAAATCTCTCCCATAGTCGCTTTATCCACTTAACATACCTATCCATGCATTGATAATCTCCAAGACATCATCTTCGGTGCGAACTTTTAGTTTGTCATGGTCCAAGATTACGAAAATTTGCTCGAATGAAAGCCTTCAAAGATCAACTCAATAGGTTTTTTTCCTTAAGATGACTTGGTTTTAATAAAAATGATTATCTACGAAAACAGTTAGGAAGAGAATAACTTTTGCTACTCATTCATGTATTCCTTATAACACCAAATATTAGCAAAGCGCAACGTATGCTTGCCAACTTTGATCAAGCTTGTGGAAAGATTGATCTTCGACTAGATCTCAAACGAAACTAGAAACTACTACTAGAAACGATGTTCATGAAGAACGGATTGGTTTCGCATGCCCCATTCATGCGAAGCGATACGAAATTCACCGAATACTCCAACTACGTTAATCCAGGTCGGGAAATCAACATGTGGAACGACTTAACACCAGAGTTGAGCAGAAGGGAACGAGCAGCTTAGGGATCTTCTAAAAGCGTCGAGGATGTAGTGAAGAGACCAAAGAACACCGGACTCCGTGCCCACCTCTTCGACCCAACGGTACTTCCTACCCTAACGTATACGTCAGAAACCTGGTCGCTGCGTAAGAATGATGGACAACCACTAAGCGTTATTGAACGCGCAAAATCGAAAGGATGATGCTAGGAGTATCCCGTTTCACACAAGTAAGAGAAGGGATCCGAAGCTCCGACCTCGGTCAATGATCAAAAATCAAAGATGTCGTTCTGTACGCCAAAAAGTAGAAGATAAGGTGAGCCGGACACGTAATATGTATGAATGACAACCGATGAACAAGAACCGTTAGTGGCTGGATTTCTTGGGATGTTAAACGCACTGCAGGAAGACCACCGACTCGATGGTCAGAGTTCCTCACAAAAAGCCTAGAAGAAAGATATGATGCTCGACGAGTCCCTAGAGCGAACAGAACTCATGGGGCTAATCCTGCATGTGACAGGGAAAAATGGAAGGTTTACTGGCGCCCTCTTGAGTCACTCGATGATCAACGGGATTACAGGTGATATAGGTGATACTCATTAATTTACATCTGAGTTTAATCTTTAGACTACCAGAGGAGTGCCTATGCGTTTTCTAAACTCTAGAACTTTTTATTCATTGGTTAACATTTGGCGCCCAAGATGCACTGATATCAACATGTGCAGGGAGTGACGAAATGGACGATATGCATTGCTCTCAAAGCATTTAATTTCCATACACGGGGTTCGCGATTTCCCTTTGCGTTACTCACTCATACATCAACTGAAAATACAACAGTAAATAAAGCTCTCTTATTAGTGATTTGCACTTCATTTCCTTCAAACTTCCTGGTTTAAAACGCAGATTTACTTTCTGTGACGAAAATACCTGTAGAATTGATAGCATATCGTTTTGTCAAGCACGCTTTCACTCAAATGGTATAGTATGAAGTGAAAAGCCTAAAAGAAGAATTAGCTTTATTCATCAAAATGTCACTACATGTTTTACTAGTGTTTCTTGTGCTTCATAATAAATCGCATTTGCAAATGAACACAAATAAAAAGATAAAGCTCTCGGCGTTGACCAGTCCCTTATGGATGCGCCACGCACTCCACTCCATTAAGTATTGTTCGGAGGTGACTGAATGCATATCTGGCCTTTACAATGACTCGCGGTGGCTTACCGATTTACCAAGCCAGTGCTCCTATCTTCCCAGACAGGTCTGGTACCAATTTGCCGACCCCGGAGGGATGGAAGGCTTGGTGGGCCTTGGGCGCGGGGATCGATCCCATGTGTGTTGCAGGGCACCTCCGACCACTGCGCCACATGCGCCCTACTCTACAATGAACACATACGCATATACAATCTTGTAGCTGAAGAACCTTTCACTCACTCATCTACCCCTTAACTAAGTTCTTTCGAGACAAAGATAAAACAGCTCAAGAGATGCAAACGCTATTCAAATGAACATGAGTCAAACATCTACTATTGTAAGTCCGAGTTTGCAAATCAATCAATTAATCAATCAACCAATCAATACCTCATCAGCAAGTTGGCTACCCATTGAGAGTAATTTACGCCAGATACTTAAACAATTACCAACATTTATATGACGGAGTGCATGTCGAAAAATTTTATTCTGAAATCGCTGAAGGCAATTTTAAATCAATAATAATTGGAAGACGGCTTAATGTAACAAATAAGTAATCGATTGTAGATTTAGGAAGGTAACTGTGTAAATATAAATTGCAAAAGCAACTACCTATGTAATTCTAAGTCCACATTATTCATGGTTATACAGTAACAGATTAATCTCTTCACCAGTCACCACGTTAATCGTCGTGTGACTTGAGGACGCGCCAGTAAAACATCCATTTTTCCCTGTCGCGTACAAGAGTAGCCTCGTGGACTCTGCTCGCTTTAAGGACTTGTTGAGCATCATATCTCTCTTCCAGGATTCTCATGAAGCTCTCTGACCATCGGGTTTGTGGTCTCCCCAGCGTACTTTTGACATTCCAAGGAATCCAGCCGATAACGGTTCTTGCCCATCGCTTGTTATTAGGACGCAATAAATACGTGCCCACCTTTCCTTGTCCTCGAAAATTTAGCGTGTAGAACAGCATCTTTGATTTTTGATCGTTGACGTAGATCAGCTTTTCGGAGTACCGATCAAGTCTCTGGCGCATGCGTTAAAGAAGGAAGTAGTGTAATCGAAAAGGTGGGCACGTATTCGGGTACACTTTGTTCTCTCCAACACATCCTCGCTGCTCTTGAAACCTCTAAAAGCTTCTCCCTGGTGAACATTGGAGCTAAGACGTTCATCATGTTGATTTCCTGGCCTAGATAGACATAACTGGAGCATTGCGAGATATTCATTCCGTTGAGCGTGAATTGGGCGTACGAAATCAATCTGCTCCTCATCAGCATCGTTTTTGTGAGATTTAGTCGAAGACCAATCTTTCCGCAGGCTTTATCAAAACCGGCAAGCCCCTGGCTAATATGTGGTGTTATAAGAACGACGCCGTCAGCAAAGCAAAGATGGTGTAATTGCCAAAAATTTAATTTAAAAAATTTAATGTAATAATTTGCAACAAAAACAGGCAGTAAGCAGATTACGCAGATTACGCGATCTTCTTACAATGAGTAGGGATGCCCTAGCTGTCCAGGGCTTCCATGATTGCTTCTACCTCAACTGAGTCAAAAGCGTTCTTTGAATCGATAAAAGTGAGACGCAGCGGTCTCTCGTCTTCTTACGCACTGAAACCTTTTCGAAATCTTCCTTGCTCACCAAGGTGTCCTTCGTCCAGTGTTTTGTCAGTCCTTTTTAGGATGACACGACTGAAAAACTTGTAGACGACAGGTAGTAAGCAGGTTGCGCGATTGTTCCCGATATTGTGGAGGTCATCCTTCTTGAACAATAACACAATCTTGCCATCTTTCACTGAGTAGGAACCTGTTATCATGACAGATCATGTGTGAAGAGTCGAGCTAGTGCGTTGATGAGAGCTGGCGGAAAGTTCTTCTTCAGGATTCAGATCTTAACTTTTCTGGACCTGGTGGTGTTCGGTTCTTCATCGACGAAATAGCGCGTCGAGTTCCAGAAGTAAGAACTGGTGGAACGACATATCCTTCCTCCATTATTTCATCTGAAGGCAGGAGTACGTCGCTGTTTAGAGCTCCAAGTAATAATTGTGCATAATTTGCTCCAATGTCTTTCTGGACGCTGTAACTGTTCCGTCTGGTAGTTGAAGTGCAATCATCTTGGTGTTGTTATTTGGGAAGCTTCGGTGGGCTCTGTGAATGCCTTTCCCACTTTCTGCGGCTTCGACCATAATGCTGCTCCTGTCTCTTTAACATCTTATTTTATCGCCTGTCCGCATTGTTTTGCAAGTTCGGACGTTAGATCGCGGGTGCCTGCAGCTCGTGCGATTCCACGCTGACGTATCAACTCGACTATTTCTGGAAACAAACATCTCTTGATCACTTTGGAACTTCACAGCACAGCACAAGAAAGCTTTCACAGCGCCATCGCGAAGATGTTGAATGAACCGATCGTACTCCTCGTCGATTTTATTAAGAATGCCATCTTTTCAACATCCGACTAATGAACTGAATAAGTCCCAATTTATGGTGGTTTCAGGATTCGTTTTTTTAAACTTAGTGACTTTTCTCCTTTAACCGAGAAGTGAAATCTTGCACGAAGGAGACGGTGGTCTGATCCTGTGTAGAATTTTAGGACAACAGAGACATCGGTTAGGCAAAACCTTCGATTTACTATAACGTGGTCTATTTCGTTATGGTACTCTCCACTGGAAGACCCCCACATCCAACGTTGAGGGTGGGGTTTCTGAAATTGCGAGTTACCATGGATGGTCTTGCTCGTCATAATAAACTCGGAGACCCGCTCACCCTGTTCGTTCCATTCCAATCCGTGGGTCCCAATGTGACGTTATTCAAGCGTTCTTCTGGTCTAATGTTAACGATAAAATCTCCAATAACGACCTTAAAGAATGTATGGTCTTCTCTGCAGAACTTCTCAAAGTCTCTATGGGACGCTTCCATGTCGTCCTCGCCATAGCTTGATGTCGTTGCGTAGACGACGAAGACTGTCAAAGCCGTCACCTGATCCACATCCCTTCATCCGTAAACATCCGATTCGGTTGTTAGTTGCTCGAATGAATTGATCTCCATGGCGAAACTCGTGTTAGCGAGAACGCCGGCACCATCGACTTCTCTATTATTGCATATGCCGAGGAACAGTTCTTCGGCGGTGTCACAGATGGCGTTGAATGGCCGCCGTTTTTTGCCTCACCCAGTCCGATGATGTCCTATCTTATCCTTCCTTCTTGTATGAACAGGTGCTCTATAGAGGGCTCAGATGCAGGTGAGCGGCATTTCAGGTACGGATCATCATATTTGGCCTTCAAGATGTATGCAGTCCAGAATGGCTTTGACATTATAGCAGCCTCTCCGTACTCGTCCTACCCAACGCATCCTTATGGATAGAGGTAGTTTGCGGTCAGAAAAATAAGGGCCACTTATTTCATTGTTGTTTAACGTTCGTTTCCCACGTATAGCTTGCAGAGCTCTGAACATTGGGCTAGGTATACTCACGGGTAACTTGCTAGTCACTCCCATAGTAGACATGAAGCTTATTTGATGGAGGCGACTCCTAACCGCCTCCCATATACTTCCCTGTCACTTGATTTCAGGCTTTTGGTCGAATTGACTCGTAGAATACTATCCGCATAAACCAGAACACACCCAGGAACGCATGCATGAAAACCTCTTCGTAAAGACCGAAAGAATGTGCGAAATCGGCGAAGCATGAAACAGAGAGCCCATCCTCTGGATCCATCCGCCTCAATGAAGCCAAGGTCGCTTTGGTCCACGATTAACCTCCTATCCTCCACCTGGTGACGCACCACGTTCCTTCGCGGCTAACCGGCATAAGATCCTTCTGTGAAGAAGATCCGGGAAGACAGGTGAAACATGCATAATTAAACACCTAGAATTTTCTGCTACAGTTACTTCATAACTGATTGCTTTTGTTTCTTTTTTACCATGTTACTACCTAAAAAGATCTATTCGATCTAACTATTCGATTAGTCAAATAGGTACTATAGGTGTCTTCCGAACCACCTCTTCGGTTATAATAAGAATATTTCTAGCAGCCAATAATAAATTACGGTTCATCCCACATATGCTCGGACGGATGGCCATTGTACAGCATAGAAAGTTCCAGATGTATAGCCAACAATTTACCTGGTTCTCTAAGTTTTCTCCAACTTACCTGTCTGTTTCGTCTTTAATCATACACATAAATAATACATAATTTGCTTTTATGACACACCTTTAGTGTTTGAAAATCTTTATCGTCTCCCATCTCTTCAAGGGCAAACTCGAGATCCAGCCATTTACAATTATCAAGAGGTTCATTTGAGCGAATAAGTAGCTTAATCTGAAAAAAGTGCTGAGCTCTACACGGATATGTTATGGAAAGGATTTGATCTATGTTTTGGTTCCGGCGCTGCCATCTAGCACGTGATTGTCATTGGCGCTGCCATCTAGCACGTGATTGTCATTGGCGCTGAGAAAGATTTCTTTTTTGGAAGCTAACCTTTCTTAATCTATCTATTGACATGGCAGTGAAAATTTTTTCAATGCAAGATCACTCATAAAAGCCGGCGCTACAGATCCAACGTTGTAACTCACTAGATACTGAGAATACGGTAATGTCAGCACCATTTTCAAATCCTCATATTTTTTTGATGTCGCCTTATTTTCCAAATAACGACACTGCTTTTCCATTTCCAAGGTATTCCACTGTGTTCTGAAATTGATAACACATGATGAGAGCAAAGAGGGAAAAGCTTTCGGCGCTGATCACTCCATGAGTGATGTGTCACACATTCTGTTCCATTCGCGTTATCGTCGAGTTGCTTGAATGCATATCTGACCTATACAGTGAATTGCTATGGCCCATCATACATCAATCCACTGCTATCATCTTTCAGGACAAATCTGTTACTAACCAAAACCGATCCCGAACGGTGAATAGCCCCCATGGCGCGGGATCGAACCAACGATCACGTGTATATTGCAGGTCATTTCTAATCACTGTGCTACATGAGCTACTAGAGGATGAACCAGGACTTATCTAGTCAATAACGTAAAGTATTCGTATTGATCCTGACAGAGATATTCTTTTGAAATGAAGCTTTCTTAGATGTATCAAACGATGTCCAATGATACTCTCAGTGACATAAGATTAAGCTATCGAAGAAGACTCATTGTCATCACTCTGATTTCTTTTATTGATCATCATGTCTGCAATGTCCTACCAGGTATTTATTTCAAACATGCGATCTCAATATGTACAACTATGTTGGCTGGATTCTTCAAAATATCTGTTACTATTCATACTCATCAAATTAACATCATGTCTGTCAGACAGAAGCACCATCCGCCTGAACATAATTCTACCAAGCGGTACTCACTTTCCTAGATTCGATAAGACTACGAGCACCGACATCGTCATAACGACCATTTAAGGATCACTAATGACTCGGATCGATGTGGCCGTTAAGAAGACGAGAACGCCGAAACGCTAGCCGAATAGAAGTTCCTACCAACTTCGTGTCAGCCCATTCATATAGAAAATCATCAGTGATACTTACGCTATTCCGTCTTTAGACTCTAAGACCAAGTTAAAGTACTGATCGTCTGACATAGAACCACGAAATAGATGAAAATGGGATTCACTTATTTTGCACTCAATCATCGAAACGGTTTTCATGTCTTCACCATAACATCGACAGTGTAAGTTATTGTGATAAGGTAGCAGAATAAAATAAATTTAACAATGCTCACTTTTACTACAATGGATGCGATGGAACGGTGGTAGTTAACACAACATGTCCTTGCTAGGTCTAGACTACAGTACCCAATCAGGTCCAGAGTGTTAGGCACATAGCGCGTTAAAGGTGATCTTTTAAGACTCGCATGCTCATTTCTATAATGTACACAGTATCCTCTTTCTCTGTGGTACTCTTATGATAGATATATCTGACTTCACTTAAATAGTTATAACTGGTATTCACACATCGTGCAGGTCGAAGCTCGCTTTGCATTCGTTTCGTTGTCATGTAACCATCATCCCTGCTGGTAATTAAAATCTTTCCTAGATTTGATCGCGATTTCTCGCCTTTGTTCTGGGACTTGGGTTCCCCAACGACGAAGACGAATTGGGCGAACAAGGGATAGCTTCCCTCGGGCGCTGGCTATCAGTGAACTATAAACTTTCGTGCATTTCTACAATCAACGGAACTTGTATTCCTACAGATTTGTGACACTTTCCGAATTACTATACCACGTTGCTGTCAGCACTTGGAAACGTTTTACAGCTTATGTTGCCACTATTCCTTTATTTTTCACAACCTCCTCTTTCATACGATAACCATGATTTATGTTATCGATTTCAATTAAACAACAGTCAATTGCAACGTTAAAAACCGACCAATGCACTCTCCCAAAAAAGGGTTTCTTCTAAATTCTTAAGTCAAGTGAGGATCCTTTGACATGCCACTCCTCACACATCTATTTTGGACAAGTTATCAGATGAGTACAAAAACGTAGGACAGAAGAAACAACTGAAAACAAAACGCATGGTTTCAATATGCGTTGCTCACAATGACCGTGATTGGAATGAACATTGAAATGAATCCCCACCGTTGACAATGCGTTAACGTAGAATTTCTCCATCTTTACGGAAGATTTTTTTATTTCATACGACCCGTCCTCACGTCAACTGTGTGGATCTCAGCACTTCTCACATTCTATTCGTTTTCTCGCACACACTGTCCCCGAAGATCTTCCAACTTCTACGTGTGGTTTTGGTTGCTATTTGAGGATTTTCATTTCATCTTGAATGTTGTAGAATGCTGGTCGAGTCAATTCTCCTTCGAGTCCTGAGATGGTCGAGCTGGAACGTTCCCATCTGGATTTCAGCGAGTGATTCTTTTTGCCAGACAAGTCCGATACCAATTTCTCCACCCCGAAGGAATGAAGGCTCGTTTGACCTGGAGCGCAATCGAACTAGCACCATGCTTGTGATGACGGACTGTGCCTACACACTGTGCCATCTGCCCTCTTTTACAGAAGATATGTGGTTAAAACCCATTTGGTGAACAAGAAATTGATTCATTACGAAAACCTTCCACCAATTTTCTACTAAACCTAAGAAAATAACTGTTTTGTTTTCAGTTTCGTGAAGTAGTATTATTTTACAAATGAGTTTCATCGACACCACGAAATCTGGTTCTTCGTTTTCAAAGATTCACAGGATCCTACTCACTCTGTTCTCGAATCCCACTACCTGCAGGAACAGTTTTCAGCTTTCACAGCATGACAAGTGCTGTGATTTCACACAGACTACATGAATTCTTCCTCTACTTCCTCGCGATTTTCTGTCCTTTTGGACCTATTTTCCGTTTAATTCATCCCACGTTGATAGCCTTTTGTCATGTATCCTACTATCTTATTCCATTGTTTTATAAGTTCCCCCCAAACACCAAATTCTTAAGCGAAAAAATCCAAGGATTAAGATAACACTGATAAATCAACCACTCGGATTTCAAGCCATGAGAAGAGAGATCTTAAAGTCCACCAGCTAAGAAGTAGGTTTCTGAACTACTCTACCACTACTTTCAAAAATAAGCCTACATAAGCCTCTCGTATAAACGTTTATTGTGGTTAATGTTTCGAAACAAGCAAAGGATAATCTTAACCTTTTTATTTAGCGCCTACTGTAATTTTTTAACGGCAGCGTACCATGTGAAATACAACTAAGATGATGTCGTGATATTTGCAAAACTCCGGACCGCAGGTGTCTGCGTTGGGGAACGAACGCGCTATTGTCCTTTCTGGGAAATAACGCGTTCACCACCAAACCATGCCGGTCCTTCGTTTCACCTGTCTCTCAGCTAGTTCTGTCGATCGGCTCCATTAGCAATCACCCGTCAATGAGACTGATCTAGGACGTCAACGAACTAGCTGAGAGACAGGCGAAAGAAAGGCCCCACATGGTGTGGTGGTGAACGCGTTACTCCCCGAAAAGGATAACAGCGCGTTCGTTACCCACCGCAGACACCTGCGCTCCGGAGTTTTGCAAATATCTCAGCATCATCTAAGTAAAGGATAGTTTCTGTAGGCAAATAACCCGAGTCAGTGCGGTTCCAAATAAGGAGAAGGCGCAGAAAAAGTGGCCACAATAACAGTTTACGTAACAACTTTGTGTAAGTTCATCAATATAACTAGATCTTACTACAACAGAGTCATATTGCGACTACTACCTCTTATTAAGCATGACGCCTCATTATTGATCGTGATACACTCAAGTAATAATATCCATTATTTCTATTTATCATTTACAAATCCATGACAGTTTTCACCAATCACGTCCTTTTGTAGTATAACATGTATGCCTCAGAAGTCTGAAAACATGAATTAAAAATACGCTATACTTATATATAAAGTGTAACTTTGCTGTCTTTGAAACACTTACATTAATACCACTGGCCGATGAAGTTGAAACACTCTCGTCGTCAAATCGCAGCCACTCACCAGTTGTTCCATGACAAACTAATGCTGTATAGTGACCACTATTCAATCGACCAGAATGATTCTAAATAAGAAAGAAAGTAGGAGCAATTAAACATCATAACTATCCTAATTTAAAAACCTACCGTTACAGCATAGAGTTTGTATGGTTCCGCTGATTCGGGAGAGTTCTCATGTAAATATTCTGATAAATCTAATTTAGTAGGATCAAAATCTACAGCCATTGTGTTTTTCGCGTAGTCACCGTTTTCTATGGAAAAGCGCTTTAGATGGACCACCTGAAAAAATGTGCTAGACAGCCGCATTTCTCTTTTTCTAGACCAGATTAGCAGAACATATCTGCGCCCCAAATCATGAGCCATGTTTCTACTTATTTTTTTAGTTTCTCCTTCTCTTGTTCAAGATGCTCACATGACTTCATATGCATTCACATACAACAGGCCACTCATTTCTTCCACAAAAATGAGTATAACACACCACAACAGGAGGTAGAGACCACAACTTTGTTAGCCTTGACGCACGTTTGGGAGCTCGGCACCGCGGACAGTTCCATCGAGAGTCGCCATCCAAAGTCTGTTAGTAGTAAACATATCGTCAAAAACTACACCTGAGGAGGAAACTCCAATAAAAGTAATGTATCTCACATGTAATACTCAGAATCATATGGAGGTCATAATACAACAAAACTCAGAAGTATAGTCAAGCATTCTGTGAAACGTGATGTGTTCTGGAGAACTCGGAACAGATAGAATTGGTTCAGCTACCGTTTGAGAAAAGTGGCTGCTAAGACACTGCTGTAAACTCGTACGACTCGTGTGCATGGGTAACTCGACCGTAATTAAGCTGCATTCCTCGAAAGTTGCCGACTGTTCACCACATGCACTGCATGACAACTCAGAAACGGTTTGCAGCTGAAACCAGCAGATAGAGATAAGCCTTGGCACGGTTAATAGTACTGACAGTTACAACACGGCTCTTCAAAATACAGTTCTAAGTGAAGGCGTTATAACTACATTACTTAAGCTTCACTGTATCCCATTCTAGGAATTTCCATATACAAATCAATAAATTAGTAAGGGCAAACACCATTTATAAAATGGATACTAATGAAATTTACGTTGAAAATTCTGTTCACTGGTGAACAAGCGAATAAGCGGCTTTTCTTTTCATAATCCCTCGCATCGCTTACAATTTGTGGTCCTCCTCTGTAATTCTGCTCAAAGGACACCCTTTTGGTTACCTAAAATTAAATTTCCTGTCTTTTCTTGATCAAATTTGTATTTACGATTAATAACTGCAAAGTTGTTATTTGGGGTATAACAATGCCTGGAGCAACAATTATTGCAGTGCGTTACATACCTGATTAGTATCTTCATGAAGAGCATCTAGTAAGAACAGTTGAAATTCTGAAGCATCATGTTGGTGGCCATCAGCTAGACAGGCGTTGACTTGGCTGGCGAATAAGCGCTAAAATGGAAACACGGAAAATGCCGTAAATAACGACGAGTACATCATGGATTTGGGGAGAGAAATAAAACCATGGTCCGTTGCTTACCAAAAATCTCTGAGGTTTAATGGCAGTATACTGGCCACTCCAAATCACATCCATCATAGCACTAAATACCGCAGAAATGACACCGCCTGTACCCATTTTATTTTGCCTATAAATGCCAACTTTGGAAATTTGTCTGCAACAATTCGCAACAGCGGCGACACTATATTTTAACAACTGTGGATGATTTTCCGACAATAACGGTATTTGAGGATTTGACGACAAGGTAAGGCTATAGAAGAGACTTGGCCCTATCACTCCAAAACCATATATGGTTCTCAAACGCAACTTTTGTTTTGAAGTTTCTTGAAATTATATCTACGTGAAATCAATTTCTTAAAAATTTGACACAAGTGTGGAACCAGAAATATCAACGACAGATTCGGAGGTATTAATGCATTGTCTCAGACGAAAACCCATTCATTCAATTGCTCGCTGTTCGAAATACGAGCCTTAACGAGGGAAAAAAGCGACTTCTTGTCTGAAGAACACCACCACGAAGATATGTTGAAACTATTTTTGTGCGTATGTGTATTGAAATCAATGCACATCTATTGCCACTAATGATGATGACATTAAACATATCTATTGAAAATACGCGTCTATACAACAATTGTGTTTGCTAATTTTTTCATATTTGGAACGAAATTAGCTACAACCATAAACTTACGGATTTACACGAGACAAGAAGTTTTCTTTTGAAAAAATTGACAGCATCAGTGGGGTATGAAATAGCGCCTTAAAAAGTGATTTAAAAATTGTACTCTTTGCAACGTCAACATAGTAAACAAGCAGAATTTCATACTACCTGTAATGTTGCATTCATAAAGCATGTGTTGCCCATATTATAAAGACCAGTATAACCAGGACGCTGGAACGTCAACAACTCATGTCAAAAACTCATATTAAGGAAAAAGTTTTAATTTCCGGAAGAAAAAAACCCCTAGAACAGATTAAGAGCAACTATACCGGATTTCCACATCGGTTGGCGCTACCTTCAGTAGAATTGCACATACTATTATATATGTCTAATAGCTGCTGCTCCTGGTCAATACTGAAAACATAAACAGGGTACGCACAATGAAATTTAAACTAAACAAATGTAGTTACGGATCACCATGATATGTCCAGACCATCCCTCTCGCCTCTGGAAAAATTTTTAGTTCTCATATTCATACCTTATCAAAATAGGTTTAGTACTACGATCAGGAAGTGGAAGACGAGGTTGTGGTAGAACCGCATTACTAAAAAGTATAGCTATTGTAACAAAAGACGGAACGAACCTGAATGTCATATTTTTTATTGAGTAAAAAATATTGGTCAGCCGGGAGACGTTGAAATAACACACATGCATGGACCGCTTACTCTAACAAGTGACAAATACGTAGATACTATGAGTGAGGAATACGTAGATACAAAGATGCATCGTATCATATCAAGATGTAAATTGATAATGAATGGTCTTCGTTAAAAACACTGGTGAAATTCGAGAACATCAAAGTAAACAGCTTTATAAGTGATGCAATGGGAAAGGAAATGAAAATGAAAGGAAGTGAAACTCACTCTTTCGACGCTAACTCACGCCTATTTTTGCACGCAGTGGACTCATTCTGCTGGAAAACATTTGATAACTCAACGTCCAAGTGTGCTATGTTTAACCCCCTTTTAGTAATCAGAGCAAACAAATTAGAAACCAGATTCCAACTAGCCACGTCCACAAATTACTTGAGATGCGCAATTTTTAAATGCCAGTATAACTTACTTGAAGAGGCTTATTCGACCTATCAACCATAGGTAAACGAGTTGGCATAGAAGTAGGTGAAACAGTTACAGATGGGTGATAACCTATAAATGCAGAGTTAGGAAATGGTACGAAGTTTATCGAGGTTCTGAAGTAAAAAAAAATTAATGATTGAAATAACCAGAAGCAACGGGCTGGTTAGTATCTGGATGAAATAACTGGCTTCTGAGCGACGGTTCAGATGACAAAGACGATGGTGACACTGAATTATGAACACACAAAGGACTGATAAAAAAGCGAAAACTGTACGGTAAATCAAAACATACATTATAAACATAGGAGCTTACATATATTACTTACCTGCGGTTCTCGTTGATGAGGACAATGGTTGTGAGGCCAACGAGGACTCCCCAATTTTAGCATTATCCGCGGATATGGAATCCGACGAAACTTAAAGATTCCAGCTGAGTAAAACATACCTATCACATAAACCATCTGATCAACAAGGTCACCTCTCGTGATTCCTAATAAATATATCTGAATTGCTATTTAAAACCTGCAGCATCTTCATGTTGAGCCAACGGAGATGCGTCTCCATCTGAAGAAGTGGAAACAGCAGAGTCTTTTGCTGAGAAGGTTGTTTCAGTACGCCTTGGCCGGAGAACTGAAACTGCCCAAAATTCTGCACTACTTATAGAAAAGACACAAAATAAAACGCAACACTTGACCAACTCACCATCTACAGCATCTGGTTTGCCTTCAGATGTGCCTGATATTTGCTTCAAATCACGTTTAGGTGTACCAATAGGCACGGATCCGTTCACTGTCGGTGTGTCATGAAACTGCTGTACACTTTGTTGTGGGGATAAATCAGGATAGTCTAACATCAAGCAGGCTGAAACACCCACTCGAATAGTTACCAGTTTGCATAGGGGTAATTCGACTCGGAAACAACCATCCAAAACAAAAATAAAAATAAAAACACCTTTTTTGTAATTGTTCACCATGTGATCTAATAGGTCTCTTGGTTCATTTCGTTTCAGCGTCCCGTTACACCTAGTATACACCGGATATTGATCACGCCAGTTATCAAAGCCACCGTCCATAAAAAGCGGACGCGATTTCGGATGATGCTCATGGTTGTACTAAGAGTGGAACGATGATGCGTTGCAAAATAATAAACGTCAAGACTAACAAATACCTCATATAAAGCCATTGACAGAAGGTGAGCTGGTGACCCACGAAGAGGCTCTCCATTTTTCAGCTCAACGCCTGTATCACTCATAAGCACTACGAGATCGCACGACCCGATTCGATGTAGAAGCGGGCGTTGACCAACTTCTAGTTGATTTCGCAGTGAAGTAAATATCAAACTGTAAACATCACCTTGAGAATATAGTACAAGTTATTCTTAGAGACAACTGCACCTTCACTTAGTGCGCATATAAGAAGCGGCAATCTCCGACATTTTATCAGTTGTTAAAACATGACACCAAAAAAAGATTAAACAACATTGTAGCAAAAAAACTCTCCTATTAGTCACAAGTAACCAAATTAAGAATACATTAAGAAGTACAACACAAATAATCCTGTTTAGAGTCATTTGGCCCAGAATCAAGGGAATTTCCATTCGCTCTCTTCGAATGCCAGAGCTTTATGGTGAGCTCTTCTTGCTCAGTGGATGCGAATAACATTACAATCAATCCCAACTATAAACTGGAGTTTCACATTACGTGGACATAATCATGTTCCTCTGGACGAGAATATGCCTCACTAATTACTTCGCTGTTCTGAAGATACCCTCGATGGAGAAAAACCCGAAAAAGCAAGACTTTTACGCTACTATGAGCCGAAACCTCACCAGAACAGAATACAAGAATTTGGACCATTTTGGCAAAGACCTGTAGAACAGCACTGCTTTTACAGCAATCAAGAACTTTCACTACAAACCAAAACACTGTGGTTGGAAGCCGACGTGCAAAACTCATACATGAATCAAACGGGGCGCGAATGTGATAAGCAAACTATAATATTTCATGGTACAGAATCTTTGATAGAAATTAGCAAAACAGAAAGATGTAATAATTCAGAACATGCCAGGCGGCACAAAATGTTAAGAGCGAAACAGCTCAACGACTAGCCACTAAATAGCAATAGCTACTAATCGTGATTTTTCGAATCAACTATATCTACTAGCTTCCCTAAAACTGCACTCCACAAACTGTGCTACTCTACAGAACAAAACCTCCATCGATAGAAGACAGTTGATTAGCATAAATTCACAAGTCAGCTTCAGCAGAAGCGCACCCATTGATCATTCGTTCTCAATAATATGATTTCAGCCACCTAACATAATCCAGAGGGACCCCAAAATGCTTTTTTCGACAAACAATCTCACGAAAATGGAACAGAAAGGTATAATACCACTTTGCACCCAGAAAAAAAAGTCTGAGTAGAGTCACAATGATGATAAGGTATTTGCAAAACTCCGGACCACAGGCGTCTACAGTGGGGAACGAACGCGCTATTACCCTTTCCGAAGATTAATGCGTTCACCACCACACCATGCTCCTTCGTTTCATCTTTCTCTCAGCTGGTTTTCTAAGTAGCGTCGTTGTTAATGCGAAACATTGAAGACTACAAGAAATGCAAAATGAATTAGAAGCATACAGAAATCGGTACTTTCGCAAAGGTTCCATTTCAAGTATCCTACAAAAAGAAAATGTGAAAAGCTTTTTATTGTCGTAGTTAAACCGACATACCCATGAACGATGAGCTCAAACGGCACTGTGATCACGGTAATCACATGATCATTTCTATAATTGATCAATTCTGATTTCTCTTTCCGGAAATCAACAATGACCGCGGTCTTTTTCGGTTCAGCGTGTTCAACCATTCGGACCAATTCCTTTGGACTTATTAAAATATTCGACGGAGAACAAAATTCTGCAAAAAAGAACAAGCCATATGGTAAACACAGTAGATAGAATACCTTGTAAAAGCAAACAAATAAAAAAAAAGCGCTAAGAATAACAGAAATGAAAAATAGGAGTCGAAGGTAAGGTTGTCGACAGTAATAAAGGATTCGAATAAGAATTAGTATTATACCTTGTTTAGAAACTGCAGCCGAGTCGTCTTTAACTATCTTCTTATCCACCGATGCTGAATGCGAAATCCTCAGCATTTTCTCCTCGTACTTCTTGCTTAGAATTGCTTTAAGGTTATCAGCCTCATCAAGTGCTTCTTTGAAAAGAAGTCCGAAAATTGCTCCATGCTATAACACCACACGGAGCTAATAGAGCATTCGAAAATTCAAGAATGGCTTGGAAACCCTGTTCACTAATGTTCATAACCGAAC